TAGAACTCAAAATTGGAGGTCTAGGGCTTAGGGTAATCCGCTAATTAGTTGTTATCATATGTTATATCATCATATTACACTAATTCTACAAATTAAATTTCAAAATTCGGCACCTTAAGAATAGTTTTTGAGTTGGGTGCATTGAACGCACTCATTTTTGTGAGTGCACCAAAGTAGTATATATATATATATATATAAGTCTCAGTCTGACATAATCCAGCCCAATCACTATATATATATGGTTATGTCTTCGGTGCACTCACTTTTTTGGGTGCATTCAATGCACCCGCCTTATAATCGTCATTCTGAACAGACGATTCATGTGAAAACGATGTCAATCATCCCTTGTAGTATGATGAACAAGAACCACATGAAATTGTACCAAAATCATTCAAGATTCACTTTAATTTGAATGATTCAGGGTTTAGAAATTTAGGGTTAGGGTTAGGGTTTACAATTGGGATTTTGGGTTTAGATTCAAAATTGAATGTTAATAGGTTAGGGTAGTGGGTTGATTAGTTGTGATTCTGTGTTATATCATCATATGAGACTAATGCTACCCATTAAATTTCAAAATTTGATGTATTATAACCACTTTTAGAGGTGGGTGCACTGAATGCACCCAAAAAAGTGAGTGCACCGAAGTAGCCACCATATATATATAAATCACCAACATTTATTCATATATTACTAATTATTCATATAAATCTATTACCAAAACACCCACCCCCATCGAACACATTATTTGTCCCATTTCCCCTCTATACCCCTCTCTCTTTCTCTCAAAGTTGTTTTTTTTTGGCAGAAAAAAAAAGACTAACAGCCATGAGATACAAAAAAAGACATAAACTAAGGGATACAAGGATGAAGGATTTGTGCTGGTCAACTTTCATTGTTAATGATTTTTTTTTTTTCATTATGAGACACATTCGTTTTAATGTTTTATGCAAATAGCAACCCTGTGCTAGCTAATATAGCACCACCCCACGTCGGTCTCTTTCCCATATCTTTGTCATTAAAACAATTCACCTAACTCATTCCAAAAACATGAAATCTACCACCACAATCACAATCTATCATTATATTACCTCATATCTACTTTATATTTCCAAAATCTATTACCTCATATCTACCTTATATTTATCAAAATCTATCCTTAGATTTTCTAATTCAACAACTCGAATTACGATGACAAATTAATTCTTGATTGTGCTCGGAAATCGTGCTTAAGTTTTAAATTCATCGATTCTTGAGATGCTTAACTATCTTGGCACGGAATATCATTAATATGATTTTCTATACACTTTTGAAATGTTTAAATTTATGCTTAAAAATGTTATTAGTGCACATTTTCCGGACTTAGTAATATTATAAAAGATTCCACAAGTAAGATCTAATTTAAATTAATTATTAATGATACGGATCAAAATTAATTGATTGGTAAATGAATTGGATCTAAAGCCGTACAGTGTTTATCGGTTGTACATGAGTCATTTTTCTTCTTTCGTTTTTTGGTCTTAATACATGATATATCCATACCACATTGCACATTTTTTTTTCCTTATGCACACCTAAATTACGAAATGAGATAATAAGAGGTTATAATACCGCTTGAAAACGAGAGCTCACACAAACTACTCATGCATACACAAGCAGATAAATGTTGGTGATTTATATGAATAATATATATATATATATATATATATATATATATGGTTCAGGCTAGCGTACATCAGTCGTACATTGTACACCCGTCGAGTTTTACTATTTAGAGCAGGAATTAACCGAAATTTTGAACATGATACTATACCCTAACCTCTAATGGGTGAACCCCAGTCCCCAATTCTGTAACCCAAGCCACAAGATTCATTTAATCTAAAAAATAATAACCGATGGTTCTGATTCGACGAAATATATTGAAGTGTAAAAACCAAGTGTGAACACAGGCGTACAGCGTACGACTGACGTACGCCAGCCTTTGCCATATATATATATATATATATATAAGTCTCGATCTGACATAATCCAGCCCAATCACTTAGTCGCGTGCCCGCCCAAACTTTTGAGTTGTGTATTTGAATGAAATCGCTCACCCTTAAAATAAAGAGAAGCTTGCACACGACACGAGCATGATAAATTTGTGCTCAAATCAACATTACTAAGGATGATAATTAATAATTCAAACACAAACTTTTTTTATATAAAACATTGGTTGCATACAATAAAAACAAATAAATATCAGTAAATCGAGTTGTTTTGCAAGACCAATTATGTATCTTAGCACAGACCACCACATGAATTTAAAATGTTATTCGACGATGTTACAAACTTGAGTCCGATCTGGCTGTATAGCTCATGCATAATTGATATTAAGTTATTAACATAATTAACTCAAACATAAAATTAATTAACGAATCATGGCAAGTTGCCAACAGACAGCCACTCACTGACTAACAGTAACAAGTGTTCCAATCCCATACACATACATTGTGGGCAAAGTTCGTATTACTGTTCGTAGCTATAGGCCTGATATATACATAAACACTGTATTGAAACAGTGGAACTTGAGTGACCAAAACGCCAAAACGAGTCGAGTCTGCGCGCGTTGTTTCCCTTTCATTTCGTACGTATCTTTCGTCCAAACCCCTTCGATATCACGGAACAAACTTTCCCAGTGCACAGGATTAGCTGTCCTTGACAAAGTAAAGCACAAACCTCGGAGGTCGGAAGGCCACACGTGTTCGCCTGCTGTGCGGTTTGTGGCTTTCAGTTGGAGATTGGAGTGATTTCGTTAGATCCAGTCACGCAGCTGGTTCAAATCCGAGTGTTCAAATCCAACGAGGGATCGAAAATGGTTGCATGGCAACAGGAGAAAACAAACGATAGCCCCAAAACAAAAGAACCTCATGATTTGATCCGTACGCAGGCAGCAAGGTGGCATCGTAACTCCGAGGAAGCTGTACGTAGATTGCTAGCCTTGAAACTTGGTCTTTCTAATTTGACCCGTCATTATATAGATCGATATGCATCATCACGTACAATATGGGAAAACAAAACCTCCGGGAACAATCAACTACAACAAGACACTACACACCAGAAACTAGCTTCAGGAAATCGTTTTTCAGATTGTTTGTTCCTGCTCCTACTTCCTGTCTTGCTGTTGACTTTTTGGTCGGACATGTCTCATTCAGTCTCTCAGTCGTCACTGTTAAACTATTCAGTCCATCCTCAGATCATCACACACCTCAACCACCGCTGATCTGTCCAATTAACTGCGTTTCTTTATATTCTTTCCTTCTGAATGTCAGATACTAATAATTTTCCGGCGAGAAAACTTGCGTTACAATCGAATTGATTGCATCTTAATTTTTTTGGACAACGATTACTAAAACCTGACTAACACCTCTTCAAACACAGTTCGAACGAGGGTGATCGATGTTTACACGACTCACGAGATAGATCTAAATTAAGTTACTCCTACTCGTATGCAGGTTCAGTGATTGCTCCAGATCTACGACTACGACTAAAATTGCAGAGGAAAGGATAAAGGATTTTTTTCTAGAAATAACACTTTAAAAAAAATTCCAAAAATATCACCCTTTCTCTAAAACCGCCACCCCACCCAACGGTTTACACAAAAACCGCTGGGAGGGGGCGCGATTTTCGACCAAAAATGCTTGGGTTGGGGGGTGGTTCTGTTGACCGCAGCGGGTAGGGACGGTTTGGTCATGTTTGGTTTTTTTTCCGATTACTCCTAACCTAGGTGTAAACTTCAAACGAACATATCTTTGTGCTCGAGTATCTGATCGTAGCTATTTTGTTTTTTTATTCCGCGTAACTTTTCGAGATCATATCTTTGTGCTCGGATATCTGATCATATCGTTGAGTGGTATTTTTGTAATTTTTTTAAAATAGTGGTATTTGTGAAAAAATTCCAAGGATAAAAGGATAAAATTTTACATTGGGTTGTCTGGTGTGAATTTGGTGAACATTTTCTCTGACAACTCCTCCTATTTATATACTTGAGATGATAACCGTCGTAGAAAACCGTATGGAGAGTAACTTTCAAAAAGAACAACTACCATTCTTTTCTAGACGTGGCTGACGTATCCTTGAACGTGGAGTAATCGACAGTTGTCCAATTAACCGACTGCTCTCTTTTGGAACTGACATCTTGTTACTTGCCTCTCCTCTACCATGACCATTCCAGATCTCACGACGAGTGTCTTCTAAATCTCACGACCGACGTGGTCAATCGAAGTCTCGGCGAAGGTGGTTTATATCTCGCGACCAACGAGGCCTACCAAACTTGACGCGACGATGCCCACTCGAGACCATCGTGGTCTACTAGACTCACGGCCACGTGGTCAGGCTCTCAAACTTAGTATATTTTATGGCTTCCTTCTCCCATGAAGTTTTCCTTCACACGTCCATGTCACTGGTTTAGTTCTCAGTTGCGGTCTAGATCTCACAACGAAAGCTGTCTAGATCTGGTGACCAACGTGGTCTAGATGACTCGCGACGAACATGTTCTAGCAGACTCGTGGCGAATGTGGTGTACCAAACTCGCGACAAGGACCATCTAGCGGACTCACAACCACCGAGGTCTACCAAACTCGAGATGAACATGGTCTAGTAGACTCGCGACGAACGTGGTCTAGCGGACTCGATACCACCGCGGTCTACCAGACTTTCTCTTTATCCAAATGACGAGATTAGTTCCTTCGCATAGAGGTAATAGTTTGGGTTTAAAAATTTAGTACCATAAGGCCCAGTTTAAATAACATTAATTGTTATTACTAGTCTTCACCACTTATATCTCTTATTTGCGGCGAATCCATGGCCACTCGGGACTTCCCTTCCTTAGCCAAATTTGAAATTATTAAAATTAGTGATACTTCGTCATCTTTTGGCTTGAAACATACGCAAAAGATAAACCTAAACCCAACTCCATGCATATTGAGTTTTCTGCAACGAGAGCGAAAGTAGGAAGGATCATAATCATTATTTATTTTTCATTCATAAGAAGAAAAAAATCAATCTCAGGATTCAAACCATGATCTTTCCAAACAAAGACAACAACCATCCGCCTCCTCGGGCCGCGCTTCCCTTCGGTCCATCCTTCTCGCTGCCAAAGTCTCCTCCAACATGATAACTTTATGCACCCTTCGGTCCAGGTCCTCCATGGACACCACGTCCCGCTTCGACAGCGCCCTGCACAACTCTTCACTTGTGGTGCACTCATCCTAGCAACACCCTAGGACTGGAGGTTTGACATCCTTGACCGCCACGGCCACTGACATCCAACGCTCATAGAAGTCCCTGAGAGCCTCGCCCTTCCGACTAGCAAGCTTCGAGAGGAACATGGCCACAAACTGTTAAAAACTGTCGATCCTTCCTTCCTCGATATGATGATACCAATCTAAGACCACGCCTGTGAAGGTCGAGGGGAAGGCGCGGCACAAGGTGGCGTCCGAGTTGTTATACAATTGCATCTTAGTGAAGTAATTGTTCAGGTGATCCTCTGGATCAGTCGTCCCCTCGTAGCTGGGGAGCGCTGGGATGACTGAGTTAGCTTGTTCCACTAGAATGCTCCGTGCAAGCGGCTGCCTCACACCCCACACCCTACCGGGGCGCCTATGTGCCCACCCGTTGTGTTCATCGAAGCCCGACTCCATGTGCCGCGTCAGGTGCCCCAGCTCCTCCGTATGCTTCAAAGTGTTGGACATTCACTACAAAAAAGACATATAGTTGTGACGAAAACCTACCGATGACACTGTATTTTTGTCAGAAAAGCATCATTTTCAACAAATGGACACTTTGTCGGAAGAAAAATTATTATTTATGACCACAAATTGTCTACGTCATAAATGATATAGAAACCCGTCATAAATAATAATTTAGACAAACTTGAGGAATCATGAGTCCAAAGCAGTCAAAATCGGGATTTTGATCGTAAAATCGTAGGATTTTAGGATTTTACTTAGGGATTCCGATCCTGATTTTACTATAAAATCGGTGGACCTTAAAATCGTTTAAAATCGGGATTAAAATCGTTAAAATCGTAAAATTCTACTAAAATCGGGATTAAAATCGTATGAGAACAAAATAGGCTGTTTGAACAAATTTTAAAAAAGTAGAACTGATTTGGCAGAAAGGGCAATAATGGGGATCTTCTCAAATATTTTTCCTATTAAAAAACATTTGAAAAGAAAAAATAACCAAATAATGGCTCGATCATTCTTTTTCCCTTCATCCCGCTGAACTTATCGGCGAAATAGATTTCCTAATATTGTACGTGCGGAAGAATTAATATCATTATTAACTCATTAATTGATTAGTGAATAAATTTTTGCCAAGCCACTAGCATTAATTATTCAATTTGAGTTCATATATTATTAGTTTTAAATCATGATTAACTGACAATGTTGAAATTAACATGACCGGAGTACTACTTTGAGTTAAACTACCTAAACACAACATAAAAAACAAACAAGAGCCAAGCTCCATGAGCTCTATCATTTCCTCGTGAATTATTTTAGTTACGCATTAAATGACAATTAAAATGATGATATTGGAACATTAATCTTGAGATTTATCATTTTCAATGTTATGTGTCTTTGTGTTAGTAATGGTTTACCTTATTAATATGATTATATGTTAGTTTCTACATGGAATTTAAAATCCTACGATTTTACGATTCGATTTTACGATTTCGAGTTTACCCCAGTTTTTTATTTTAGGTAAAATCCCGATTTTGACTGCTTTGCGTGAGTCACTATTTGTGACGAAACTTGCTATGGCGTCAAAAATATTTATTATTACTAACAAGGTGAAAAATGGTGTCAGTAATATATGCTTTTTTTTACGCACCAAAAAAGATCGTGGAAATACTTAAGTTTTTTTTTATGAACCATCTCTATTGTCAGAAATATTTGGTTGGAAATAATATTATTTGTAAGTAATATTTTGATGCATTAGAAAAACTCTACATTTTTTACCATCAATTATTGGTCGTCAAAAAAAGTTGATCGTAATAAATGTACATTGCAATGTGTCACCGCAATCATCATATTTACATAGTATTTTTTCCGAAAATATACATTTGCGGGATATAATGTATCATATATAATTTTTTATGACCAAACTATTGGTCGTCAGAAATAAAATGTTAAGATTACCAATGTTTTACTTAGCAGTGACCTTTTCTGACGAACAACATAATTCGGCTGGAAATGATTGTATAGTGTACAAAAAATCTCACATGTTTAGAGGATTGAACCAACAACCATGAGTTTACAATGATGAGTACACGTCAAGCACACTATCTTGTTGTTTGTCAACTTTCATATTTTTGTTACCAGTTACTAATTGACTAATGTATCAAAAATAGAATATTATTGAGTAATTAAAATTTAAAAACCTACATCAAGGTGGATTGAACCAAACACCGTAAATTTACATAGTTGATTTCACACCAATTAGACTAAAAAGGTATAGGTACAAATTTAGGTGAACTTGTACCATAAGGTATAGGTTCAAGTTCAATTAGACCATTGAGGTACATATACAAGTTCAATTGAATTTTTACCATAAGGTACATGTACAAGTTCAATTTGACCAATAAGGTTTATGTACAAGTTCAATTTGACCGTTAAGGTATGTACAAGCTCAATTTGACTACTAGTGTACATGTACAAGTTCAATTTGACAATTAATGTATACGTACAAGTTTAATTGAACTTTACCATAAGGTATACGTACAAGTTCAGTTTGACCATTAAGGTATATGTACAAGCTCAATTTTACTATTAGTATATAGGTACAAGTTCAATTTGATAATTAAGGTATATGTAGAAGTTTAATTGAACCTTTATCATAAGATATATGTACAAGTTCAATTTGACCATTAAGGTATAGTACAAGCTCAATTTGACCATTAGTGTATAGGTACAAGTTCAATTTGATCATTAAGTTATACGTACAAGTTTAATTGAACCTTTACCATAAGGTATGTTGATGCGATTCACATTATGATTTGGGTGATTACTAGTGATATATGTTTAGGAATTAATATTTAGTTCTTGTATTATTTTTTATGTTTTGAAATTGTGATTTGGGTGATTACTAATTTTGAGGGAAACTTAACATGGGAGAACTATTATAATCTATTGACCATGACATTTCTAACCATTAACCAAGCCCAAATGGGCAATTTTTGCCCCAGAAAATTTCCCGCCCACAAATTCTCCCCTTTCTAAAATTTGGGCGGACAAACCAAAATTTTCAATTTCCAAAATCCACTCAAATTCTTTAACTTTTAGTCTCTCCCTCTCCCTTATTTATTCTTCTCTATAAAGAAAACGTACAGAAGCTTCCCTCTCCCTTTCTCTCTCCCTCTAGCAGCCCAAACCCAAAAACCTAGCAGCTCATTCTCAAATATGCGCCGCTTTCTTCCTCTTTTAACTCATAAACCACCCTTATTGCATGTCCTTCCATCGTCTCTAAAAAAAATGACCCCTGCACCGCAAGCTGCTTCCCCTGTTCTCACAAGTTTCCGAGAGATGCGAGAGATCCGGCAATGATGGCGTAGATAAACGATGAATTTATCGCAGAGATAGAGAGGGCGACGATGAGAAAGAACGATGAAGAAATCGAGAGGGCAACAATCAGTGAGATTCAACTACGATAGCAGAGAGATCGAGAGGCGACGTCGGGAACTGGCGATGAGCTGGCCCGCTGCTTCTCCCAAAGCGTCAACGATTCCCTCCCTCAAACCGTGCTTCTGAGTCAACTATGGAAAAGCCGATCTGGGTTCAAAAGGAGTAAACTCCGGCGAAAGCTCCAAGCCACAAGATAGGGGCTATGTCTTTCTGATTGTATTTCAGATTTTTAGGGTTTCTGATTTTGTTGAGGTTTTGGGATTTGGGATGGGTTTCGGATATCAGACTTTGGGATGGCATTCCGAGTTTTGGATGGTATTTTGGGTTTGGGATGGTATTCTGGGTTTTCCGATTTTGTGATGGTATTCTGGGATCAGTTGGGTTTGGGGATTTTTTTTGGGTTTGCGGGCAAGATTGTGAGGAACAATACGCGCTACTTTTGTTACAACACTTGGACCTCGTAAAATCTATCAGTGACCAAGATTATTTCATCACAACTAATTTTATTATCGAATTTTTTTTATTCCAACCAAAAATATTTAACGGAAATTCAAAAGGGTATTTTTGGAATGACCATCATCCACGAGTCCAGTTCCATCACAGATAATAATATTAACGACAAAATGATTTTACCGACCAATATTATTCGACGCAAATTACAAAGTATATTTTTCAACAATTGAACAACAACAAATCCAATTCCATCAAAAATAAAATTCGTCATTTTCTGAGCATCAAGTATAATTTATTTATGACCACGATAATTTATGTAACGACAGCCAACTATTTGTCACAAACAATTTTTTTATGACGCCCTAACGGATTTCAACTTTTTGCGATTGGACTTTTTCCCATGACGACCAACTAATGTATTTCGTCATGACTAGTCATTTCCAATGAAAAAAGGTATTTTCCAACGCCAAACGTTTGGTCATAACTTACTGTCTTTTTTGTAGTGATTCCCTCCTGGTCCTCATCTCTTTCTCTTCTCTTCCCCTCGAGGGGAGGCGCAGCGTCCGCAGCCCTTTTCAATGCTTCCACCTCCTTATTGAGTGCTTCGAGCGCCTGATCTTGCTCTTTGATTATGCGGATCAAGTGCTTCTTTGTGAGTGTGGCGCCCTCCGATTGGACCGTCTCTTGCGTCTCGTTGTCCGCCCTTTGCACCTCCTCCGACAAATTAGGCGCCTCTTTCGATGCCACTTCATTCGGCCCACGCTCCTTCTCACCTTCCGTTTCCCCTGTCGCCTCCATGATTCCTAACCTTGCAAGGTTATGCCTCCCCTTCCTGACCGCCAATTGTTTATGCCAAGTAACTCTGCGCTCTGCCACCTCGCACGCCAACCTGTCCGCACGCCCTTTTCCTGCACACAAAGGCGCCCACAGAGCCCTTCTCAGGGCTCGTTAGCACTCCGACGCCCAAGCAGAACCACGTTTCTAGAGAGAGAAGTGTACAGTAATTTTAGAGAGAGGATCCAACCTGAGTAAATGAGGTTCACCAACTTCACTATTTATACTAGGGGCCTGGCCGACAAACATCCTTCCCTTCCGCCCTCCGTCAGATCCGCAATTAATGCGACGTACACTTACTCTCTATCCACCTCGACCGTCTGACTCCTCGCTCAAAAGATTGAGGCACATGATGTCAGTTGGTCCATGCTCCGACCGTTGGAAGCCTTTGTCACATACGCCCCGTGTCAGAATCTTGGCCCCACCTGTCTGGGAGACCCCCTTATTTCATTGGACTATCTTCCTTCATGCGCTTAGGCCTACTTGGTTGGGCTTTTCTCCATGGCTTGCTAGCTTCTCTCTCTTGGGCCATTGGGCCTGATCCCCTTGGGCCATAATTATGCCCCCAACAATTTTAATATGAGTTTAATAGTAAATTTAATTTATGTCCTCTTATAAATGAAGAATAATTTTAAAATTGCAACTCAAATATCATTGATTCGAATATTGCATATTGAATTGCAGTATTAAATGTATAGATGTGATGTAGAATTCATAAATACAACTATAATTATTCATCAATACAACTAAGCAATTCATTCTTCTAAGATAGAGCATACACACAAGTCCATAAGAATTAATCATTTATAACAATCATATAGTTAATTATATAGTTGGTTATTAAGGATGAACCGTGTCCTTCATTTATGTGATAGGGCTTTGAGGCTCAGTGAGTTAAAGGGAAGGTTTATTGTATTTGTATCATGTTTAATTTTTTTGGGAATGCTCAATATCTTGTTATACATAAATTCCGTTTGCATATCTAGAATATTGAATACGGCTTAAAAATCAATGTCAATCACAAACCAAAAAAATTAACTTAGTAATCGATAATACCAAATAATGATAAATTTTGTGTGGTATTTGATGGATCCCAAACAGTTAAAATAAACTTCCACCCCTAGCTTGGAACAATATTTTAGATATGGCAATCCTTTGGTGTTGGTCACTGACTTTCCAAGTAATGATTAATTACCAATCAACTTAAATTGCTACTCATTAAATAGGGATACAACTAATATGCACATGGATATGGTTACATGGAATAACTAATTATTTTCATCCCTTAATGAGATTTAATATGCCCGGTAACTTTCGATTATCCCTAACCAATCATTGTCCAAATTAAAAAACACTATTAATGAATTAAAGTAGCTAAATTAGCATGATCACTATTCACATGACATCACGCAAGAAATTAATATTGTACTCCATTAGAAGGCTTTGTTCTGGCCAAATCATTTATGGTATGTTCTTTGTCCAAGTTTAAAGGTCGTTACATATAGAAATTTACACACACAATGACTTACCACCTAATTGTATGTTAAGTATCTTAAAAAAAAACTAATTGTTAAGTATCATTAGATTTGGTTCAATCGAGATTGGATGACCATCATTACTTGATTTCGTTATTATAGATTTTGTAATGTGTGTCAAAAATTTTGAAAAAAAATTATTCAATAAAAAACTATATTTTTAATCCAAAGGTTAACGATTATTGAAAATCTTATTTCGTGTTCTAATATCACCAACCTTCATTTACATTAAAATATTTTTTTAATTCTAATTGACATATGCATTTTTAGATAAATCACAGTAAAGCGCGGGGCAATTATGTAGTACCAATTAATTGTTCTCACTCGGCTCTCTTCACACGCTAAAGCCCTAAACTTGGGAAACAGTCACAAACCCGGAGTCCCATCTTCCTGCAGCAAACGAGTCTTTTTTTTAACCAAGTAAACTTAACTCCGATGTCATGCCTCATCATAAACAAAGGTGGCCAATCTTGTCTTGGCCACATGTTTCACGGCAAGCCACCGCAGCTATCCAATCCTTTTGTCATAGAAAAAAAAGTATTTTTTTACAAGTCGATGTTGAAGTATATGAGTTTAAGTACCAATTTGTAATTTGTCATGATTTTCTATTGTAATTAGGACTAGGATTATATCTCTATATATGGGCCGATCATACTCCTCTGTACAGTTAACGCGTATAGTGAAACCTATTGAACAACACAACCTATTCCATGTATTAGTCCGGGCAACACGGATACCACGCTAAATTTCGTGTGTTCTTTCTTTTCTTCTTGATATGTTACAGTCAACTCTTATTTAGCCAAAATTTTGGCCTTCACATCAAGCCAATACAGCTAGATGGAACTTGACGTCAAAACTTGTCCCCCTGCGGTATTTTATGTATGTATAAAAAAATTATAATTAATAGTCCGGGACACCCTGAAATTTGAAAGAATGATTATCCTACTCTCGTTTGTAGTTTGCGTATGGGAATATAAGTGGTAGTTTGGGTAATTCAAACCCGGAACACTACTATTACTAATATATATAATTTCCATTAGGCTACTAATTTTTTGTTGTTCTATTCTAAACACTGTGTAATAACAAAACCCTATTCTCTATCTTTAATTATTTTCAAAATGTAACAATTAATCTAATTACAAGCTACTCTTAATTTGTATTGATTTTATGGTTGTACGACACGTGTTGAAAGTGTCTTTTCAGCTTTGAGTTACATTAAGAACAAATTTAAAAGTCAAATATGCGTTAGTTTGTGAATGATTGTCTAGACACCAAGTGTATTTTATAAAGTTTTTTTAATATGAAAATACATCATTGAATTTTTTTAACTTGTACGAGTTGGAAATTTTCTTATTTAAAATTTATATATTTTTATTAATTATTAATTATTCAATTTTTATTTTACTTTATTTTTTGAAAGAGGATACCCTTATTTAAAATTCCTGGGTCCGCCACTAGGCCGGATGGAACTTGCAGTCAAAACTTGTCCCCTGCCTTAGCCAATTTTGGACATCGAGTCAGCACGTCTTGGGAAAGATGATTGTGTTCATGTCGAATCTCCGGCATTGACACGTGACAACCTCACACGTCGAGTTTTTAGAACGAGAAAGAGGGAGAAAAACTAACGAAAACTGATTTATTCTTATTCTAGTAAATAAAATGTAAAACAACGTACATATTTACAAGCGAAGCATACAAACCCCTTTCCTTCACAAACAAGGAAACAAATCCTAAACCGATTACGAATCAAGAAAATATCCTAAACCGAAACAATAACAAAAAGAATATCCCGATTAATAATAATAAAACTAATAAGGAGAAATATTGATGGGCCGAATTCGTAATGCATCAATCCTCCCCCCCTTCGAGCAATCTCGTCCCGATGTTAGGGTTCATCGCCAGCCCACCCGTCTCCTCCTACTCCAAAATCCCCGATCAACCAAACACTTGGTTGTTATAATTAGCACAGCGGTGACCAAATGTAAATCGTTCATCGCAATTGTAGCAGAGACCATCACGATGACGTCGTGCAGCCTCTTCCGGAGTCTGGTGACGAATGACCCGTCGCCCATCTGGAGGTGGATCGCGAGCCGGCGACGCAGGCGCTGGGACTAGATTTTGGACCGGAGATGGCTCCGGTGCGACCGCAGCAGGACCGCGTGGTGCTCCCCGCATAGCTCCTCTCTCGAGCCGAATTTCTTCCTCATGAACCTTGGCCATGTGGTAGGCTTCCCCAATATTTCTTGGCGCAAAAGCTCGTATATAGGCATAACTCTCTGGTTTGAGACCGCCCATATAAGTTCCTAGTACCGCCTCCCTACTCCATCCCCGACAACGATTCAGAAATCGTTCAAAGGCCTGTTGATAATCCTATACTGTCCCTTCGGAAGAATGTTCGCCAAAGTCTCGTGCCCCGTAACCTTTTCCGAAGCTCCATACCACTTCCAAAATTCAGCACAGAAGTCCTCCCAGTTCATTGCCATCCCCCCTTGTGCGAACTCCTCCTCGACCCACATCACCCACTGACTTGCGTCGCCTTCCATATGAACGATGCAAGGGATACCTTATGCTCCTCCGAAACACCTTGATACCTGAAATATTTTTCAACCCACGACATCCACCCGGAGAGTTCTTCCTGACCAAGAACTTTGGGAACTCGAGTGTCGTCGATCTTCCCCGAAACCATCATGTAGCCGACTCCTCCTCGACTCGAGTCTTCCCTGTCTCGTGGCCCTCTGAATTCCGTGGGACCCGACCGCCCGACCCAGCTTCCGAGTGGTCTGGCCAGCCTCGCGCTCCACCGTGGGACTTGGGCCACCGCCAGGATTCAACATGGTCTTCATCCACAAGATCCAGCCGGGTTACAGGCCGATCCAACTTGGCGAATAGCTCTCGGTTGGGCCGAAATCCTTCCCGCTCCTGGTAAAGCTCCGCCCTAGGCCTAGCTCCCTTATGACTAGCCCCGCCGTCCTCCGCGACCCTACCCGGTCGGTTAGTACCACCGGACCCATGACATGGTCGCTCATCAAACTTCACGCCGATTTGGCCACCCCACTGTCCTCACCATCGTTGTCAACATCCAAGCTGCCCCATATTATCCCCGTTAGAGGAATAACCCTGCCGCAACCCTCCTTTCCCGACGTAGGTCCCTTTGATGTTGGTGTGGGTAGAATGACCTGACCGACCTCCTTGGACTCGTTAGTGAGGATTCTACACCCTTCATCTTATCCTCGGCCGCAATCTGATCAGTGGTGCGTCTCTCACCTATCTTTCCTTGATCTGTGTCTCCCGCAATGAGGGCCTCCATCCTCTTCATACAGCTCTCCAGTTCTTGGAGCAGTAGGTCACTGTTTCTCTTGGACACGTCTCTGATTTCTCCGCGTAGCGTTTCGGTCACATGGTGAATCTTGCCTTGCAGCATGGACTAACCGTCCTTGAACGATCAACATCAACACGGAGTTGTCTGTGCTCTTCCCCGGCGGCGCGCAACTGGTGATCAAAGTCGGCCACTCGATCCATGGCGTCTCGGAGTTGCTGGCCGGCGGCGACGGATTCTAGAGAAGAAGACGTGTTCTTCTTCCACGTGTCGGGTTTTTAGAACGAGAAAGAGGGAGAAAAACTAACGAAAACTGGTTTATTCTTATTCTGGTAAATAAAACGTAAAACGACATACATATTTATAGGCGAAGCCTACAAACCCCTTCCCTTCCCAAACAAGGAAACAAATCCTAAACCGATTACGAATCAAGAAAATATCCTAAACCGAAACAATAACCTAAACCGATTAATAATAATAAAGTTAATAAGGGGAAATATTGACGGGCCGAATTCGTGGGCTGAATTCTTAATGCATCATGCATCCTTGATGGGAAGATTAGCATCGAATTCACCCTGGGGAAGCTATGCACACGTCATCGTGGAAGGAGAACCACGAGCATCCACGGAAGGCCGACTTGGAGGCTCGAGTCGAATAGCTCAGTCCGAGTCCACCCTTGGTGACTCTACGGCCGACTCTTCTTCCCCGGAGGGTGGTGCGCGTAAGACTATGGATCGGTTGGTACTAAGGTCAAATGAAGACGTCGTGTTGACTTCCATTCTACTTGCAGCAGTGCCTTTTACTCCAACTTTGGTGGATCAATTCTTAAATGAAGAGTCTGCGTTGCTTATTAATTTGAATTTCTCGTGGGTCTTGGTGAGCGTGGGCTTTTACATTGATATGTTGGCTTTATGAGGTGGCGAGGGAGCTCAAGTGACTTTGATGAAATATTGCATGAAAGAAGTTACCGTGAGGAGGGAGATTGGCACATCCCCATGCATAGGTGGCTAGTGAGATGTTGGAACGTTAACGTCGCATGTAAAGGATGTTTCGACATGCTTGATGTACATGGATAGGAAGGATGTCGATTTTGGTAGCCATAATTCTAGATATATGAGTTTCGTCATTGGAGTAGAATCAATTGAAGTTGAAGCGTAATTGGATGTATCAAAAGCGTTTGTATTGTCAAACATCCATGACCGTCGATGACAAGTTACGAGGGAGGTTCTTTTACATCGATCCTGGTTGAAGTGGTATGGTTATCCCACGAACCTTGGGGACAATGTTCTTTAAAGGGGAGAGCGATGTTACGAGATCATGCCATCGTAGCATTTTTATAATTACTGGGCTTGCGTATCTTTTAGTGTTAGTTTATTATTATTGCCTTTCCTTTGTTTGTAAGATTTGGTCATTGTTAGTTGTTTCCTTGTAGAAGTAGGAGTCAAGTTCTAGATAGGAAAAGGTAGAGACTTCTAAGCCTATAAATGTGTACTCTGTCTTTCGTTTATTGATAAGAAGATTGGAACCCAAATATTTAGCTTTCGTTCTTTTATTTGCCATTTCCTTAGTTATTTCTTTTGAAAGTTCTTTGCGTTTTATTAGTTTTACGGGAAAACTCCAAAATGCCATCCCCTACGTTACAATACCGTAATAGAACGAAAATACTAGATTTCCAAACAGTGTCTGTAGTTTCCTTCTCTTTTATTTTGGTAGTAGAAGGATCGACGCCATAGCGTCTAATTCATACTAATAATCAAACGATCATGAGGAACTCCCACGATGTCGTGACGTAGCCAATGGCCAAGGCCCACGTCGTACACATCGAATAGATGTACCAAAATCAAATAAGTGACCTCTGCTTGCGAGAAAGTCAGCAACAAAATTAGCCTCTCTATATAAATGTGAGACTTTCACCTCCCAATCAAACGAAAGAAAAACGTAAAACTGCTTAGCAATGGTTCCATGTTGATGATTGTCATCCAAGCAATCTCTAATGATCTCTAATGATTAACAGGGTTTTCCAACGTGCCTTACAGCATGAACGACAGCTATTTGGTACTCAACATGGCAAAACCATCACAGCTGAACCAACAACCTTCGATGTTCAAGGTGCGAAACGACCTTACATTCCTAGCAAAGGTCCTCATTCCACATTTTGCAATGTTCCTGGTCACACTGAAGATACATGCTATCATAAACATGGTTGGCCATCGGGTCTCACTCCAAGAGGCACCACCACCACTCCCAATCCATCTTCCAAACCTCCAGAATGTACATTTTACAAAAGGGTTGGTCACACAGAGGAGAAATGCTTTTAAAAAGCATGGTTACCCACCTCCCTCTCAACCAAGATCTCAAGTTCCTCCTCTTGGCAGACAATTCATCAATGATGCAGACAGTATCTCTTCTTCAGATTCACAGCCAGAGTTCAAACTCACCAAATCATAATATGACAAGATCATGTCTCTCATGACTGATTCCACCAAGGGCAAGTCTTCTCACTCTGCAGCTATCACTACTCACTATACTCTTTTCCCTTCAGGTAACTCTATTTGCAATATAGTTCATCATCACAATACCATCATTCCATGGATCCTAGACACTGGTGCCACAGATCATATTGTCAATTCTCTTCATTTACTCACAAATTCTGAACAAGTACATCACATTTTTATCAACTTGCCCACTAGTGATAAAGTAGAAGTACTCACAAGGGGCAAGTTCTATGTCACGATGGTTTAACCCTTGAGGATGTTCTATTTGTCCCTAAATTCACTTTCAATCTCCTCTCACTGAGTAAACTCACCACCACCAGTCCCCTCAGCTTAACTTTCTCTTCTGATTCTTGCACCATACACGACATGGAGCTGAAGAGAGTGACTGGTTATGCTAAGCTCCTCCATGGCCTTTACTGCATCAATCTTCCCCTAGCTAGTACACCTAACCACATCACAGCAGCTGTTAGCTCCTCATCTTTTGATATTTGGCATTTCAGACTTGGCCATGTTTCCCATAGTCGAATACCATACTTAAAACCTCTTCACCAACACATAGAAACCAACAACAGCTTACCTTGTGATGTTTGTTATTTTGCCAAACAAAAACGGCTTCCTTTTGCTTCAAGCACAACTGTAACTACACATTGTTTTTAGTTGATCCATGTTGATATTTGGGGTCCTAACTCTTCTCCAACTTATGATGGTTTTAAATACTTCCTCACCATTGTCAATGACTGCTCCAGAATGACTTGGCTCATTTTTCTTCAGTCAAAAGCTGATGCTAGACCTAAGTTACAACATTTCAGTACCATGATTGCAACCCAATTTTCCACATCTGTCCAAACTATCAAGAGTGACCAAGGACGAGAATTCCAAATGACTGAATTTTTTGAACAAACAGGCATCTTACATGAAATGTCTTGCATTGAAACACCACAACAAAATAGTAAGGTTGAACGCAAACATCAACACATCTTAGCCATTGCTGGAGCCCTAAAGTTCCAAGCACATCTTCCCATTGTTTTATGGGGAGATTGTGTGAAGCATGTTGTGTTTCTAATCAACAGGGTCCCTACCCCAGTCCCAGACAACCTCACCCCATACCAGAAACTTCACAACAAACCTCCTGACCTCCCAGACTTGAAAGTCTTTGGCTGTCTTTGCTTTGCTTCCACCATCACTAGTCACAGAAAATTTCAAGAAAGAGCTAGAAAATGTGTTTTCTTTGGTTACACACCAGGTATCAAAGGATACAAGATTTATGACCTGCACCGCCATGACATCTTCACATCCAGAGATGTTCACTTTTATGAAACTGAATTTACATTCCAAACATCCATCCCTACACCTGTCTCACCAGAATCTAGTTCCTCTCCTCATCTCTATCCACTTCCTTCTCCCTCTGATCATGATGACCACCCTCCTCCCCTACATTTAACAGTCCCTCCACCATCTCCTCCACCCACACCAGCAGCTCCTCCACAACTTCCGACTCCTGATCCCATTCCACCTCCACCCCTGGACCTTCCTATTGCCATCAGGAAACCTCCCAGCACAACCAAACCACCCTCCAAACTAAAAAACTACCATTGCAACCTACTTCAGCAGGTTTCTTCATCCATTCATTCTCTCCAGCAACATGTTCCAGGTATCACCTACCCTCTCTCTGATGTACTTGATTATATTAGTTTATCTCCTTCTCATCTAAAGTTCATACTCAATATTTCCTGTCACAAAGAACCTGAATCATATGAAGAGGCTGCTCTTAGACCTGAATGGAATCGAGAAATCAATCATGAAATTGATGCTCTTGAAAGAAATCACACATGGGATGTTGTGTCTCTACCTCTTAACAGGAAACCCCTCGGAAACAAATGGATATTCAAATACAAATTTCTCTCTGATGGCAGTCTAGAAAGAGAGAAAGCAAGACTTGTGGCAAAGGGGTATATTCTCAACAGGAGGAGATCGATTACCAGGATACATTTGCTCTTGTGATCAAGATTACCACAGTTAGACTATTTCTGGCTATAGCAGCTTCAAGATCTTGGCATGTTTACTAACTAGATGTGAACAATGTCTTTCTTCATGGAGACCTCACTGAGGAGGTATCATGAAACTTTCAAACGGTTACAATCCCCCACCTCACATACAAACTCAAAACTAGCAAATTGCCTCATCAGTCATGGTTATACTTCAAGTCAAGTGGATCATTCCCTATTCTACAAATCTCAGGGCTCTCATTACACATGCATTTTGGTTTACGTTGATGATCTAGTTGTTGGTGGCGTTGACTTAGAAGAAATCACACAGCTCAAGCAGTCCCTACACAACACATTAAGCATCAAAGACATGGGTCCCCTGAAATTTTTCCTTGGAATTGAAGTTGCCAGGAATGTGCTGGCATTCATCTCTCACAAAGAAAGTATGCATTAGAAATTCTGAAAAAGGGGAAGTCTTACTCTCTTGACCTGTTTCTACCCGTATGGATTACAAGCTACATCTCACAGCTCACCATTCTTATCCCTATCTAGATCCATCCTTCTATAGGAGAATTGTTGGCGAGCTCATCTATTTAAAAAAAACTAGACAAGACATTAGCTTTGCTACTCAATAGGCCAGCCAATACATGTCTAATCCCAGCAACCCACACTATCAAGCTGTGACCAGGATCCTCAGATACCTCAAATCAACCCCCTCAACGGGTCTCTTCTTCCCATCTTCACCCACTCTCCATCTCAAGTCCTTCAGTACTCTGATTGGGTCTCTTGTATGGGCACTAGAAGGTCAGTGACAGGTTATTGCATTTACCTTGGTTCTGCCTTGGTTTCCTGGCAAAGTGATAGACCATTGATTACACATGTTTTTACCCTATTCTTGAGCCGTTTGAGATGTTGATTCTCGTGTTTTAAGCCGATTTCATGCTAGGTTGGGTGTTTATGTCATATTTCAGGGTTTGGCGTTAACATAGAGGCGAAGAAACGAGTTTCGGGTCGAAAGGAGGACGTTTGAGTTGAAGGGTGCTGGAGGAGCAAAATACCCGGCCATGAGCAAAAATACCCGGCCGGGTAAAATCTGAGGAGGCCGGGGAAAAATGTTTTTGGGCGCCCAGAGTCCAGAAGGGGGCCCGGGCATTAAGCAAAAATACCTGATCGGGTATTCTTGACCTCGATCGGGTATTAAGGGCGTCACCGCTGCGCTGTGTTTTGAAATCCCCGGCCGGGCACCAGAAATACCCGACCGGGGATTATGGCCGAGGATCGCGAGCAGCATGATTTTTAAGTGAAAGAAGGCCAATTGTGAAGGGAGTTCCGAGTTTTAGAGAAAGAAGTGATACCTAGAGAGAGAGCGAGCGACGAACCAGAGTTCCCAAGCGCCTTAGATCGATCTCCATCAATAGTGGAGCTCGGAAAATGC